TATACAGTATTTGGAAAACCGTTCTTGTACCACTCTTAGTATATGGCGCTCAATGTATTAATATTTACTCTACATGTATTCAGAAACTTTATAAAATTCTAACTAAACTTATGAAGACTTCATTGGTCCTATCCAAATTCTCCAGATCGTCTTCTCTGCCTTTGGCTCTTGGTTTGCCAAAAATCTGCGACATTAATAATAATTACCAACTTCAATTTCACATTTTTTTAGGCAACTCTAAATCCTTAAAATGTTATTCTCACTTATTGAACTGCAAGTCCTCCCAAAGTGTCTCAGAAACTGATTAAAAGAATAAAAAAAAAAAACTATTCCTAATACTGTTATTTAAAATGTTATCTTGACAGTGATCACAAAAGAAAATGAAATATAATTTGAAATAAAATTTTAATTGAGATGGATTAACTGATAGTATTAATATAGTATTTCAGATGTATCCATATTTAGAATGTAACGGAAGAGAACTTTTATCACAGCTTTTAAGAGTTAACTTTTAGTCTTATTCATACTCATCTTATTATTTAAGTGAAATGTTTTTCTATTTCATTGTTTGATTTCCATTTGTATTTTTATGTGTTTTCTTGTATTTGCATATATGATGTGTTGGATGTTCATTATACATTTTATCTCTCCAGTTTGAAGGTTTTGAATGAATTGAAATTAAAATTGGTCTTCATACACAAAATCATGTTACTGTTCATTCACTAGGTCTTCAATATAGAAACTGGTGACCATTAAGTATTGTACAAAATATACAAAAATCTGGCAGGTACAGTGATGTAAGTACTGGCTACTAATCATAAAAACATAATTATAAAGAAAATCATTCAAGAGATATTTTGGGAAAAAATAAGAACAAAGAATAAGAAAGCCATAGCCAATAATGAAACACAAAACAACGTTTTTGTATACCGTATTCATATGAGTGTTAAAAATTTATTTACAACCTTAATAGGAGAGCAATGCGAAGCGAAGAGGCTTAGAGAAGAATATAGACATTTACAGTTATACCTTGGATACGATCACACAGCATACACTGTTACACTATACATTGGCAACAATATACATAGAATTATATACTGTATATGAATGTTTATATATTTATATATTTATAATATATATATGTATAGTATATATATATATATATGTATATATATACATATACATATATACATACATAATAATGATCGACAATGCTTCAATATCAAATCAGGAATAATTTCAGCAACCAGATTTTTTTTCTTTTGTCAAATAATTTAATGATGACATCAACAGGAGACTTGTTATATATGAGCTTGGTTTTTTTTATTTTCCTTTTACATATTCAGTTCTTTTTTTTACCAGAAGTTAAATGAACTGAAGCTTTAGACACATTGAAATATTAAAATTATTTTATAATGGTATAGTTGTCTTTACTCAATACTAGCAATAGAAGGATAAATGTTATTCTCTATATACTATTAGAGGAAGCAAGAAGTTATAAGCCTCATTAATTTGCTTCACACAACTAAAATAAAACCCAAAAACAATATATATGAATTAAACCAATCAGTGTAGATACCTCATGTATGTTTGCTTTTACTTCTTATAAAAGTCTTATAACAATATATTTTATTAAATAAGCAGCTTTAAGTTTGTTCAATATTAGAACATGTGTGTACATTTGAAAATGTATATAGATGTGTGAGTGTATTATCTATCTATGCATTCAAGTTTAGCCGTGTGAAGTTTCAACAATCCGGTTTATAAAGACCAGGCAAAGCCTTTATCACAACAAAGCAAACAACTAGATGCTAAAATCTTGAACGCAACATGTCATGATAAACAGTGCGAAAGAGAATTAGAGAAAAAACTGGTTCTTTCATTAAAATTTCATTCTAAAAAGTTTGTGCTGATTACAACTGTACCTTCTCTTTCCTGTAGTAACATTATGAAAACAATCATTTTTATAATTAATTCCCATTGAAATTAAAACATCCACTGGTATAATAAATAAATGAAACCAGTATAAATGTAAAATCTCAAGTATTTAATATCGGATAAATTAGATGGCTCGAAAGCTATAAATGACTTATTTCTATCAAGAAATGTTTAATAATTCATTCATGAATCAGATACCGTTTTAATGAAAAGACTTAAGACATGAATATTTATTATAATGTATAATTTTTTTTGTATAGTACGGCAAACACGTGACCATTATTCTTCCATAAAATTACACCAGTTTCATTCAGTGTTATCCATATTGTTTTCAAAGGAGAAACTAATATTGAATTCCTTCCTGGTGACACCAGGATTATAATACAATAATTGTAATGTAGCATATCATAATGACTGGTATTATTTATTATCAGTAATATTTTTTATTTAGTAAATTCAGGAAAAGCATGTTCAACTTTAGGGTGATAGATACACAGCTTCATCTTAATATTAATCATAACTGTCACATTTGCTTGTTAAATCGAATTGCATTAATGTTATTTAATTATTTAAAAAAAATGTTAATGTTTCTAAAAAATCTGATAAAAACATGATCTTTTAAGATAGTTTATTACATGTTTGAATGTGCAATCTGTATGGAGGAACCTCCAGTGTTCACTCATTTGAGCGCCTACAGCACATCTGATGAAAAACCATTAGATGGAAGTAAAAACATATAAATGAATATTCATTCAGTTATAAAATGAATGATAATGAAGTGGTTGAACGTTTAAAAGCTGCTGTATTATACAACATACACAATTCTTACGCATTAAAAATCACTACACAGTCCTTTAATAATTCAAGCAATGCTGCTTATTTGTATGTAGATCAAGTCTCCAATTACAGTGATAAAAATAGTATGTAATGATTAACACTTGTTGGTCAGTATATAAATGTATTACAGGTTTTAAATGCAAAGTTACTGATTGATAGCAGGTTTGTATTACACATTGTGATGGTCTATGTTTATGTTTGCTTGTAACATGTTTAGTAGACCAGTATTTTAAAAATTAAAACAGTCACACTATGAAGAGCAAACAATTAATGACAGAATTTAAGATCACTATCTAAAGCATTAGATTTTTCCCCTTCTACATGAGGCAATCACAGGACTTATGATTAAGTTAAATACTCTTAAGAAAAAAATTTCTATTTACAATTATTCATCAACAGAGTAATACAGTGAATGGAATATGTATGTATTGTCCAACAATATGAATATAATTTTAGCATAAGGTTCTCTCACACGGTGTTCCCAAATCAAAATAACAAGATTTAAAAAGTGTTTTTTCATGTGTAGATAAATTCATGCAACACTTGTAATCAATATGACAAATATATTAATTTCTTATACACCCATTTAAAAAAAAATCATACTATAGTAATGAGATACTAAAGTACCCAACAAGCAGAGATCTAGCAGTCAGTTGTGCTACAATGGCAAAATAGCAGCTTACACCATCTGCTAGGAAGACATGGTCAAAATTGATTTCTTTAAAATTTACTTAAGTATAGATTATTTTTCAAATGTGCGTTTAATTTTCTAAATGAAATAATATATAGTTAATTACCTGAATCCCAATAGGTAGAGCAATTTACATGTAGTTATATTAACATATTTGTAATTGGAAAAAGAAGAACAATGACATTTAGTTCATTATGGAAACTAATACAAATCTAAACATCCACATGTGCAAATGTAAACAAATACACACACATACATACACACACATACATATACATATA